ACAACTAAACATGGAAACATGGAATACAGGAATTGGGCTTGCATTACAAGGTCTCTCTTCTTTTTTTAACCATTTTTATTTTTCACTATGTGTATAAAATCATTGGGTCAAAAAATAGTAAATAAAATTAACCTAGGATAAGATGGCCTTTTCTACACATTTACCTGAAGAGCGTAGCTGAGACCCAAAGCCCCTAAAGTGGAAAGCAAGGATCAAAGTTCCTTTTGTCCTCCAGCATCTCCGATCCGTAGCATCAATGCTGCTGTGTCTTGGGGAAACACAGTCAACACTGTACTGTACTGCATGTCTGCTATGCTCAGGGCCACCCAGTCCTCCTTCTTCCCTGACTCGGTCCCACCATACCAGCAGCTTTAATCTTGGGATTAAAGTTTCAGGGCCTCACATCCCCAATGCTAGAGAGCATATCATCCTACTGACATGGGCTCCACAGAATCCCTTTACTAAGGCCTAGTGCTGTGCATACACAAGCAGCTGACATGTACATCGGCTGAGATGTGATTGCACCCATCATGGGTTGTAACAGAAGTGGAGACAGGAGTCTTGGAAAAAAATGGAGACCACACTATCCCCACTATACCCTTTTCCCCTCATTGCCTCAGCCAGGACAGTCAGCCTGGATAGTCGGGCTGCATGACTCTCATGTTTCCAAACATGTCAAAATATCATATCTGATCTATATACATGCTTTGGGGGAATAAAGCAAACACTTAGATATGGATTAAAAAATGGTTTTGTAACATATTAGAATTAGGAAGTGGACCATCAGAACAATTTTTTTAAATAAATAAATAATAATAAAAAACTTCCAAAGGGGAAAAAATTACGACTCTAAGGTTCACCTCTAAGGTTCACCTCTAACTCAGCCTAACTACAAGAACAGCAAAGGAAATGTAAAACTACTCCCAAAGATACTTGACACCATGCCTGTCTTCTGATTTAATTCAAAATGATGAAAAAAATAAGAGACTTGAGATTGAAAACCACCAAATTAATGAGTGGACTTACTTTGAATTTTAATTTCTACATATTTATTATAAAAAGATTTTCTTAAAAAGACAGATAAATTTGCTGGATATTAGAAGATATTAAGGAATTATTTTCAGAAGAGATAAAGGGGAAAATACAGTTTTGAAAAGACTTAACCCATTCTATGTAACAGGGAATTTGGAAAATAGAATCCTCATTCCCTATCTCCCCAATGAATTATGTGATTTTGAGCAAGCTTTGAAATCAATCTCTGTTCTTGGGTGCCTCCATGTAACTGGGGACTATGTTATAAAAATTGCTGTGAAAGTCAATAAGGTGAATTTTGCAGAATCCACAAGGCAAGGCTGGCTCATAATGAACTGCTTCACACCTTTGAGTTCTTTTCAGGAATTCTTTCGCCCTACTCTCTCTCTCTCTTTTTACATTTCCATGTGTTCTGAGGACATTTACTTCATACTTTCACTACCTATTTATTTACTTCTCTTTATGCCAGCACTAAAGAACAGGTCATTATTACAATGCTTAACAGTGCTTAACCTTTATGCCCAAGACCTGCCCTCATAAAACTAAGCCAGAAATCTAGGTAAATAAAAGGCTGGACAAGAGAAAACAAAAGTAATTCAAGGCCTTAAAATAAAATTCTTCCATTATGAGTTCTAGATCCACAAAAGCAAATATTAAAGAATTCAAAAATACTTCCCCTAACAATACCTCCTAGGATCTTCCATGTACCTTAAATACAAGTACCACAGAAAAGTGATGCAAATATTTGATAATTTTGGAGTTTTTGAGGTTGTGGTATCTTGATCTCTTTTTACCCAATACTAAGATTCTTGTTGTTGGGGCTGGGGATGTGGCTCAATCAGTAGCGCACTCACCTGGCATGCACGGGCGCTGGGTTCGATCCTCAGCACCACATAAAAATAAAAAAATAAAAATGTTGTGTCCACCAAAATCTAAAAAATAAATATTAAAAAATTCTCTCTCTCTCTCTTAAAAAAAAGATTCTTGTTGAAATCATTCAGAGTGTTACTCCTGTTTGCTAGCTACCTACTAAGGCATGTCACAGGTTATGGGCAGAAGGAAAATAGTAATGATGACCTTCAGAGGACAAAAAAAACTGTCCGATCCCAGGACCACACAAGGTGCTGTGGCCAAGGTTCACGTCTCTCTCTTCACTAATAGATTCAAGCATCATGTTTCTCCAGCACAAGCAGGTTCCCTTGACCATGCATGGGCACAGAACTGCAGTAGGGCAAGTGACCGCTAAGTCATATGTTCATCAGGAAGATGGCACCCACCTTGTAGAGTTGGCTGCAGTTGCCTTTACAACTCTCCTTCCCAAACATAACTTTAGAATCTACAATGAAAAACAACTCTTCAACATAGACTGGCACCAGACCACAGTGGAACTAAGCCAAGTCCCCATGATTTGAACAGAACACTAACAAGGTCTTGGCTTACCATATTTTAGTTTCCAGGAATGAGGCATAAAACACAGATCTTTTATGATCCAAAGGAAACATAACTGGGACTAACTATTCAAGCCACAATTGAATTTGGCCACATAACTTTAAAATCCAATTTATCCTTCCATTCCACAGATACAGGAATACTACCATGTACCAGGGTTTTGCCTGTAGCTTGGAACACTGAACTACATAATTCTTGCCCACGGTCCAGTAGAGGAGACAAACTGAACAATGAAGAAGAAACAGTACCACAAGAAAACCTCTCCATATAGAGACCACAGACTTTGAGTAAGTCTTGGCACTGCCTGACAATGGTACTACATTTCTCCAATCCATCTACTCTTCCATCACTTTTACCACCACCACAATTTAATCTCTAATTTGAACCTGCCACCTGAACTCTAGAGGTCCACATATAAATGACAACCTGATCTCTCCTTTGGATGTCTAATAAATACCTCAAATATTGAAGTTAAAATAGAATTCTCAACCTTACCCAACTTCCAACTATTTTCCTCCTCTGTCTTCTTTATTCGGTGAATGATAACTTCATTCATCCAGTTTTGCAAGCCAAACCTTGGGTCCTCCTTGACTCCGTTCTCTTCTACATCCCATATCCAAATGTGGAGCTGCTTAACTGTATACAAGCTCTGATTATGCCTTTAACCCTCAGCTTAAAACTGGTCAGTCTTTCCTACCTTTCAAAATGGGTTGTCCTCCCTCTCCTTTGGAGCACCCTGGAATTCCTGTTTTTTTTTTTTTTTAAATGCTGCTTCCACGACTAGACTGTGAGCATCTCAGTATAATCATCTTTATTTCCACCACTGTTTTGGCCTCATATAGTATACATCAATATGCTCTTGTTTGATGGATGATAATAAATTCATTAAAGAATAAATTGATTTCTTATATGTTTATTTTGTTTATTTTTTTATATGCTGCTGAGGATCAAACCCAGTGCCTCACATGTGCGAGGCAAGTGCTCTGCCACTGAGCCACAACCCTAGCCCCAAATAAATTGATTTTTTTAAAAGCCCTGAGTTAGATACTTTTCTAGTTGTTGGATACATAACAATGAGCAAGTCTCTGCCCCAAGGACTTTATAGTGACCAGCCACATGTGGCTTCTGAACCCTTGAAATGAGAGACACACACCAGACCTCAAAAATTTAGTCAAGTAACTCATTAATCATTTTATATTGAATGAATTTTGAAATTCAAATATTTTGGATATATAAGGTTAAATAAAAAATAGTATTGAAATGAACTTTTCTCTATTTCTTTCAGTAAGAATACTAAAAATTTTAAATTATGTATATGTCTCACATTATATTTCTATTGCACAGGGCTATTCTGGGCGGAGGAGATAGAGAGCAAATGACAAATAAAAATACATTCACATTTGACATAAAGACATCTGAACTCCGGGCCAGCAGCTGGGAACACTGCCAGGAAATCCGTTGAGAGCCATAAAGATCAGCAGAGCAGGGAAAAGAGGTACCATAAGGTCACTTCAGAAATGTGACAGGTCCCCTCCCTGTCACAGCTTTGATGGGCAGCTGCTCACTCTGTGAGTTGCACGTATGTAGAAGAGTAGATGCGAAGACCTAAAGGCAAGGGGACGGTGAAGATCACCTCAAGGTCTGGTAAAGAGCAATGGAAGCCAGACTAGGAAAAAGCAGAGGAGAGATGTCAAGGAGGCAGAATCAGCAAGGCTTGGCCTGAATGTGGAGACCAAGTCGAGGGATAAATTATTAAGCCTCTGAGGTTCTGAGCTCAGTGCGAATAAAACTATGGAATTCCAAAGGATGACTAATATATATATATATATATATGAAGAAAGGAGCAAATAATGACTTAATATTACGTTGAAACATGCTAGGCCTAACACATAATCTCACTGTGACTTCTTCCAAATTTGGGAACAACAGTATTTCCAAAAACATCCCATGAGGAAATATCAACTGCAGAAGAGTCAGGAAACTACCTCCTGGAGGGTGGTGCTGGGCTAGCTGACCCCATTCCAGCCCCGTGGTCTGCTTCCTCATAGGGGGTCTTTAGACTACTTTCCCTTGACCATGGTCATCGGGATTTCTAACAGAAGATACACACACACACACACACACACACTCACACACACACACACACACACACGTCTAATTCTCCCAGGAATTGTGCTTCGGTTATTCTTCAGTAAGATCTGATAACAGGAAAACTAATGCCAGGGGAAAACTTAAAATGGCCATCATCACCAGAGACCACCTGTTCTACAGCTAATCACAGCTCACAGGGTGAGCAGCCCCAGTGAAACCATGTCAGGAAGAAGGTGAAGTCACATTTTGGAACTGGTTTCATGATGCCCAGCATTGCAGCTGACAAGCCTTTGCACAACATTAATTAAGCCTCCCTCTTAAATATAAGGATGTACACAAGGCATCTGAACTCAGAGCCAGTGGCGCGCACACACCTGGGTGCACACCCACACCTGGGTGCACACCATCAGACACTGCAGGCAGCTCACCTTAGTCGTTCTTCCTCTTTTTTTCGGAGATTGAAGTCTCTCTGAACCACCTGGAGGACATGCTCTGTTTCATCATCCGTCAAGCCGGACAGGTCCAGCTTCCTCCCCATGATTTAATATCAAACACGGACAGTGAGACAAGACCTGGGAAACCAAAGGAGAAATCACAAATTGAGGACAAGACGAAAGCTCTATATGGACAAAATCAACCGGTTCCGTCATTAAAACAGAGTTTATATGTACATGTAAATAAAGGAAGAGTCTTTCTCTGCCCTCATACTTGGTCAGTAATTATATCTTCAGCAAAGGCTACAGGGAAAATGAGAAGATAACTTATCATCTGCCAATATTATCATTCTGACTCTTAAATGAAGATGAAAGAAAGGATTCCAGTCAATAAAATGAACTATAAACATCAGATTTTGTGTGCATTTCCATTAAATGACAAAAGGAAATATCCAAGAATCCTTAATTTCTGTGGCTTGAAGTTTTAAATTACAAATATTATATGTAATTACAAAATAACCAACTATAATGTTTTTCTGAAAAAGTAATATGTATACTATGTTCCTCAAAGTTTTAATCATATAACTATGAAATAAAAGCTAGACATCAAAAATCTATCTTCCAAGAAAGGAAACAAAGAAAGAAAAATAATTATTTTGCCATTTTCTCAGGAGTAGAAAGGATGATATTTCAGGAAAACATCTCCCAGTAGTATATACCTAAAAATTGTGGAAAATTCTATAGGGGTGGGTTTTGAGAATTAAACCCAAGGTAAGCATACACTCTGCCACGGCACTATATCCCCAACCTGGGAAACTATACTTTTAAAAGTGAACTTTAATTAATGACTGTTACTAGAGATAAAATAAAATCACATATATATTGCCAGAAGATTCTTCAGAACTGAAGGCCATCATAAATATCAATGCAAACAACCTTAACATAATATTATCAAAACCATTCCAGCAAGATTTAAAGAAGGGACACCATTACCCTAAGTACATGTATGAAGACATGAATGGTGTGACTCTACTTTGTGTACAACCAGAGATATGAAAAACTGTGCTCTATATGTGTAATATGAATTGTAATGCATCCTGCTGTCATATATAACAAATTAAAAGAAACTGACAATTCATTTATAATACATATGACAGGGAAAAAAGATGTAAAGAAAATTATATACCATGACCAAATAGGGTTTATCTAATTCAGTTTTCTCATCATTCAAAGATAAATCCGTGTAATTCATCACGTTAACATAAAAAAAGGAAAATGCCATGTGATCACTTTAATAGCGGTAGAAAAAAGCATTTCATAAAATCCAAAACTCATTCATGATGGAAACCCTCTGCAAACCAAGATTACAAGGAACTTCTTCAGTCATATAAAGGGCATTTACAAAAGTAAAATCATTTTTTAAAAAATATGCAACTAGCATTGTACTCAGTGACAAAAGCCTGAATGCTCCTTAAGATCAGAAAAAGGACAAAGACATTCACTCCCACCACCTCTACTCACTACTAAATGCCCCAACGGTAATGCTATATTAATCAAGAGAAGCATTGGAATCTAGGTGGGTGCATCACTTCCTTACAGGTCTCAAAGGCAGCTGGAAATTGTTCTGTCCTCAAAGTCCTGGCACTCGGGGCCTGTGACAGGAGTGGCAACCTGGAAGATCTCCAAATTATCCTCTGAACCATTCTTCCATTCTCTTGACAGGTAACATCAGCTTCTTTACATATCTGCCAATCTCCTTATCAAAGTTCACTTGGCCACATCCTTGGCATTCTCTCCTGAATTTGCCTTTTCATTCCAGACAACAGGGCCAGGCCAAAAATCTTCCAAATCTTTAAGCTTTGCTTTGCCTTTGATTATAAATTCCATCTTTGTCTCTCTCTTTTCACGTTTTATTGCAAGTAGTCAAGAGAAGCCATGCAGCACCCTCAATCCTTTGTTTACAGGTTTCTTCTGCCAAATGGCCCAAGGTATCATCTGCAAATTCCACCTTCCACAGAGCATAAGGACACAGAAACATTTCAGCCAAGTTCTTTGCCACTTCATAATAAGGACCACCTTGCCTCCTGCTTTCCATGCCTTGTCTCTCATTTCCACCTAAGATAGCATCAGAATTGCCTTTACCATTCATCTTTTCAATATTCTAATCACAACCACTTATGTAATCTCCTAGAAGATGGAGGCTTTCTCTACAGTTCTCCTCCTCTTCAGAGAAATCACCTTTAATGCTCCACTCAAGGCAAATTAGGCTTCTTCTAGTACTCATTTGCAAACTCTTCCAAATTCTACCCACTTCTCAGTTCCAAAGCCACTTTCACATTTTCAGGTATTTATTATAGCAACACTCCATTTCTCAGTACCCAATTTCTGTCTTCGTCCACTCAGGCCACTTAGCAAAATACCTTACTAAGCTGAGTAATTTATAAAGAATTTCTCTCTGGAGGCTGGGGAGTCTAAGATTGAAGTGCTAGAAGATTCGGTATCTGGGGAGGGCTGCTCTCTGCTTCCAAAATGGCACCTTCTTGCTGAGTTCCCACATGGTGGGAGGGCAAACAGTGTAAATGTGTGTCCTCTTGAGAAGAGATGCAAAGAGGAGGCAGCTCTCTGGAGCCTCTTTTATAATCCCATTCATGTGGAGCTCTCATGGTTTAATTACTTCCCCAAAGGCCCCACCTCTTTATACCATCACATTGGGGAGTAAGTTCCTGCATGAATTTGGGAGGGGCACAAATTTCACAAATGAGGCTTTTTCTAACACCTACCTCAACACTCTTCGAGCCTCTACCCATTACTCACTTCCACATTTTTAGGTACTCATTACAGCAGTACCTTACTCTTTTAAAAATAATCTGCACTAGTTTAGTCGAATGGCCACAACAAAGTACTTCAGACGGGATGACTTAACAGAATTGTCTTTCCTCACTGTTCCGGAGGCTGGAATTCTGAGATCGAGGTGTGAGCAGAGCTGGTTTCTTCTGAGGCCTCTCCCCTTGGCTTGAAGTTGCTCATCTTCTCCCTCTTTTTTGAATTTTAGGAGGACACAACCCATACACAGTCCATACCAGTAGGCATAAAGAACAATGGGATATAGAGTCTGGAAATAGGTAAACACAACAAATTATACTGCAAAGATGCCAGGGTAAATCAATGTGAGAAAGGAGAGTCTTTTCAACAAATGATTCTGGAACACCTGAATATCCATCTAGAAAAATAAAAGGGACAACAACCTATATATCAACTCACACTCAAAAAAAATTAATTCAACATTTATCATAGAGGGTAAACCTGAAACTATAAAACTTCTAAAGAAACAAAGGGAAAAAATGTGAATAATTTTAGGGTAAGCAAAGATTTTAAGACACAAAAAGCATTATTCAGAAAGAGTAAATGTCATGACTTGGACTTCATTATAATGAAATCCTTCTGCTCTTCCAAAAACACTCTTTAAAAAAAATCAAAAAGCAAATCACCAACTGAGAAAAAATATTTGCAATAAACATCTCTAACAACTTGTATCCTGAAGAGGTAAAAATTCTTCCAACACAAGAAGAAGCTAATTTTAAAATAAGCAAAAGACTGAAACAGCTACTTTACAAAAGAGCATACACAAATGGCCAAGAAGCCCATGAAAAGATATTCAATATAGGGTAAACACTAAATGAAACTTTAGATAAAAGGTGTAAAAATCTGCAAGAGGTATAATAAGGAATCAGTTAATTTTTATATAACTTTGTAGAAAAATCAGGTATGTAAAACTATTAGAAAAATATTTTAAAGGTGGGTAATAAATTTGAAATTTTGGAAAGAAAAGACAAATTCTTAGAAAACTATATTTTATTAAAATTGATTTGGGAATAATTAGAAGAACAAAACAACTTATTGTCATTCAAGAATATGAATCAATCAATAATACTTCCCAAATACATCAAACTCAAATGATTTTTCCAAATTCCATATGTTAAGGTAAAAAAAAATGCATAGAAATGAGGGAACACTCTTCCATCCATTTTATGAGGCTTATTATTTAACCCAAACCATACTAGAATGAAGATATTTTTTTAAATGTTAGTTTCATTCTAAATTAATTACAAAAATGAAAACAAAATATTGGCAAATCAAACATACCAATGAATGTAAAAGATAGCACATAATGACCACAGGAAGCCTATTCTAGTAATACAAGGTTGATATAACTTGAATACTGGTTCACGTAATTCAATGACTCACTAATTAAAAAAAGAAAACACAATGATTATTTAAATTGATATAGAAAAAAGAAATCCCATTCATGATTTTGAAAAGATAAAAATTCTTAGCCACATAGGAACAAAAGGAAATTTCCTTAAATCTGACAGAGAATGTCAACAAAAAATGAACTGAAAATATCACACTTATTAGGGAAACGTTGAAAATATTTAGAGAACATCTACAAAAAGTACACTGGTGACATCAAATTTAAGAAGAAAACATGGAAAAGATTCTTTTGAAGATTCTCATAAAACACATATATGTCAGATATTACCAGATCTAAATATAATACTGGAAAATCTAGACAGAGCTATTAAACCAGAAAAGGAAATAAAAGATGCAAAGATGGCAGGGGAGAAGAAACGGAACTCTTATTTGCCAATGATACTATTATATATGTAGAATTTATAAAAGAATCTACTGGCAAGTCATTGAAATTAATGAGTTAAGCAAAGCAAGGAACACAAAATCAACATATAAAAACTAAATGCATTTTATAGACTAGAGTAAAACAGAAAATATGACAATAATTAAAACTGTGTGATTTAGGAAAACCTCAGCAATGGAGTACTCAAAATAAATTTAACAAAATCTATGTATCAAAGGTCTCGTACAGAAATTATAAAACTTAATTGAAAGACTTTTAAGTTAATCTTCATGAGCTGGAAGATTTAAGTTAAAAATGTCAGTTTTGCCAAATTGATCTAAAGATTCAACACTATTTCAGTCAAAATCCCAACACAGATTTTGTGAAACTTGGCAAGATGGTTCTAATATTTATACAGAAAGCAAAAGGCTAAAACAGACTGAGACTCCTAAAGAAAATGATTGATGTGTGTGGGCATTTAATAAAGTGTGGTGTTGGTGCAGGA